AGCATTTCGATTTGGAATATGAACCAAACTGCCCATACGATTCGTTGACAATTTTCGATAAAAATAGCAATGGAACGACGATAACTTTTCCTCCCCTTTGCGGAACTGCTTTACCTAGTTTTCAATATTCCATGTCTAATCAAGTTATCGTTTCGTTCTTGTCCGATACATCAGTAACTGCAAAAGGTTTTGAGCTCCATTATTCAACTGGTAAGAAAATATCAATCAATAAAGTTACTTTCTAGTCCAAACCCCAAAGTTTTAAGGTAATGAATATGTAATCGCATATGTTACGGTCAATCACGGAAATCATATTTGAACTTTAAGCTGCTTATGCTTTTTATATCAACTTATACGATGAAAAATCCCACATTAAATAATGTGACTTTCATATGCATTGTCTTCTTTAAGGCCATTAAGATTTAAGTTTTTATGCCTTAGTATAGAATTAGCGTATTGCATCAATCCTATATGAATCGATCTTATGGATTAGAAGTTTTGTGTCTTGAACAACACGTTTTGCCTGTCAAATTACAGATTTACGATAAATGTAAGCTTGCACGTATACTAGTCATTATTTTGGATATCTTTCATATTACTTTAGAGTAGCTAAAGATGCAAATGGAAGTTATATCATTTGAAGTGAAACTTTTCACCATATAGGATGATATAAAAATAATAAAAACTGAAGATTTAAATATAATTTCCGTGATTGACCATTTCCCGTGATGACCGTAGCAAGTATACATGCTCTTAAAAATTTCAAACACTCTCAATGATACTACTCTTTTTAATTTCACTGCTATTTAATTTCTGAAATTCAATGCCAAATTTGAACTTTCTGATTTCAATTCTTATTGTATAAACAGTATCACCTCCGTGTAATTCAAATCCATGTCAAAATGGCGGTACCTGTGAGTATAATTATACCACCGGCTACACTTGTCATTGTATTCCTAATTTTTCTGGAATTAATTGTGAAACATTAACGACAGCAAGTAAGTTTTTCGTATTTTATACTAATCACAATTATGTCAGATGAAATAATACGAAATTATTGTATCGTTATAGGTTACTGCAATAGAATATTTACATCAATTAGTGGCGCTATTGCCAGTAAAAATTATCCATCCAATTACGATAATTTATTAGATTGTAATATGACAATTCAACTTCCATCGAATTACAAAATAAATTTAACATGGCAAGATTTTGCTATCGAAGATGATTATCAATGTGGATTCGATAGTCTGACTATATATGATGTTGTTGGTCATAGTAATCAGACAAAATTGGGCAGATTTTGCGAACGAACACCCCCTCCAAATGCAATAGCATCAACAGAAAATACTCTTATCTTACAGTTTCATACCGATGAAAGTGAAACCAGAAAAGGTTTTCTAGCAAATTATGTGGGAGGTAAATTGCTACAATGTGACAAAAGGTTATAAGAAAAAGATAGAAATGTTAAAATTGCATTTAAAAGCTGCTATCAAGAATGAAATATGAACAATAGTATAGAGAATGGTTATTTGCATGCATTCACTTTAGAAGATTACCACATCTGTGCTAATATGTGATTCTTATTTTATTCATGGCGTGATTTATAGGCATAAATGACACTAATTTTTACTTCTGTACGTATTTGCAACTGGACTAAAATCTTCAACGCCTTTGATTCATATTTTTTTAACAGTTCCTGTTACTTCTGATCCGACGCTAGTTCCAACTGCATCATCTGCTATTTGCGGAACCAATATTCATCAAACATCTGGGGAAATAAAAAGTCCAGGATATCCGTTAAAATATTCTACCTTCAGCTTTTGCGTATTTAAAATATTTACTTCATCAAATCAACGCC